GGAGCTTGATGTGGGGCCTGAACCGTGAGATTGTGACCTTGAGCTGAAACCAAGAGTTGGATGCTTAACCAGCTGAGCCACCCAGGTGCCCCAATGGTCATGAAACTTTTAAACTTAGCTACTGTGTTACTGTGTTGCTGTGGGTTTTTATGTATAGTCAGTAATAATAATCAGTGACTTTTTAATGTGACACATCTCCTCAGTTGTGAGGGTTCTTTTGTTTCATCTGTGGTCGTGATACTAAATGTTATGGGTGAGAGAGTCTGCATTGTGTGAATGGAAGTCTCCGTTCTTGGATTCCACACAAGATTTATGTGAGGCTCTGCTTTCAAATAAAAACAGCCAGAAGGGAAGTAGCACGAAGGAATTTATGAAAGCGGAAACACTCTCAAGGTGGGAGAGCGGGCAGGTTCTGTAAGGTGAAGCCTGTCCCCAGTTTGTTTTGAGATTGGATGTTATAGGGTCTCTCTGGGCTGGGAGCTGGGGTAGTCTCTAATGGAGGCTGTTTCCAGTCCTTTGGGGAGCTCCTCCCACAGGTTGGGGGGGGTGCTTGACTCTTCAAAGCTTGTATAGGAAAGGTCATGGCAGCCTTTCTCCATTGTCGGGGTGGGGGGTTGTACCCGCAAAGCAAAAGCATTGTGACCAGTCTAGGGGTTACCCTGGGCAGAGGTGGAAGAGGAGAATGCGCGTTCTGCACTTGTGGGTCTTTGGTCTGTCAGCCCCAGGGTCTTGCAAGCCACAAGGTCAGGATGTTGTGTCCTCGGGTTTTTAATGTGTACCTTACTTATCATCGTCCTTATGTCCAGCCTTTGTCCCTATCAATCCCCTTCAAGGACTTGGGTCTCTGACTCGGGGCATTCCTTCCACTGCTCTGTTACAGTAGCTTGTACTTAACATAAAGAAGAGCTCTTCTGAATTGGCCCCCTGGAAATAACAAAAACAAAAAAGCAAAAAAAGGTAAAGAAGAAATAGGGAAGTATTTAAGAATGTCACGTCTGGGATATTACAGTGTCAAATCAAGTAATGTGAATAGTAATTTTCAAATGTCAGCTACCCTATCAAACAAAAATAAGTTGTTTGGAAGATAGTGGGATGGAAGGTGGGTGGGCATAGGAGAAGGTTGGCTCATCATCCCTGTGCCAGGTCTTTAGAGTAAGACGCTGACAGATTAGGGATACACACTTGACCACTGTGTAGTTTTTGGTATTAAGTGAGCTGCTCTTCTTCCCTTTGGAAATGAGATGGAGAAAACTTACTTGATTTTGTGTTTTCACCCTTAAAATGTTTCTCATTGTGGAATTAATGGGTTGTTTTATAAATAAAAAGTTCAGACATTTGTTACAGGCTGAAAGAGGATCTTTCCAGATGATGTATATGTTAATGTATTCCAGATCTGCATTTGCAAATGTATTTCCCACTATCTCTGGTAGCTCCATAGCCTTGTGTTGTGTGAATGTGTCATTCCCTTTGTGATTGGCACTTAGGCTGTGTCCAGCCTGTAGTCATTGGAAACAGCTGCAGGGGATATCTTTGTAGTTGCATATTTGTAGCTGTGATTTCCTTGAGGTAAATCCTTACAACTCCTCTTTTTTCCAGGGTCCTGATCCTGATACTCGCCCAAAGAGCACAGGTGTCTTTCAGGATGAAGAGCTCCTTTTTAGTCACAAGCTCCAGAAGGACAATGATCCAGATGTTGACCTCTTCTCTGGCACCAAGAAAACCAGGGTCAGTTTCAAAAGGTTCTTCACATCATGACTTTGTTACTGTATTAGATATTATAAGTCAATAGCTCACCTAGCTCTTTTTGTAAATTGCTTTTGTTTTGAATATTGAATTTGAGTTTTGTCTATTCCAGTTACTAGAGCCAAGTGCTGGGAGCCTATTTGGGGATGATGAAGATGATGATCTTTTCAGCCCTGCCAAGTCACAGCCTTTGGTATCAGCCTTTTGCTCTCAATACTGGGGTGTGGGGAAGGCCTCTGGGAAGGAAATTAATGTGTACTTATAAGAGGAAAACACGCAGAGAATTTTGGCGCTTACCAGTGAAGGAATGGCAAATGGCACGCTGATGATAGCGTTTGTGGTGTCCTCATCTTATGTTTCCTAATTAACATTAAAGCATTAACTAACCCAAGCTCTTACTGTATTACAGATTTGTTTGGTTTTTAAGTTGTTTATTGAAAGACCAGTGCATGCCACACGGTGACTAAATACCCATGCCTTTCAGGTGCACAGCTTTAAATTTGAGTGTTAGCCTGTTTGTGTCATTTGTCCCCACCCCAGTAGATTTTGTTAAGCACTCTCTATTTTGTTTAGCATAGCAGGAACTCCCGAGAAGGTCACGGTCTTTAGAATGCCATTTCTGAAATGCTGCATTAGTTGTATTAGTTCACCTAATGTTGAAATGTTCAAATGTTGTGTTAGTTCAACTCTCATTCAAGAAATGACCCAAAACTCAGAAGCCAGATTGTTTTTATGTATTATGACTTTTCTTTAAAATTTCTGAGATAGATGACAGGTGGTTGGTATTCTTTTTCTTTTGAAGATCTCAGAAAAGAAGAAGGTAGTGAAAAAAGACCACTCTGTATCCTCTGTCAAGAACCAGAAACATCCTGAATCCACTCAGCAGGGTATCAAAGAAAAAAGCACATTGAAACCGGAAACACCTCAGGTTAGAACTGCTTAAGGACTTTCAGCTCTTGCTTGTATCCCAGGACAGAGGGACTCCATCATGCATACCCAAGGGTACTCAGAGTTCTCTTGATTAGGGAGGAAACAGCAGCTAGGACGACTTCTCTCTCTTTATTGTATGGTTTAAAAAAAAAATTTCTTTTTCTAATTAAAAAAATTTTTAAAGTAAAGCTCTACATCCAGTGTGGGGCTTGAACTCATGACCTAGAGATCAAGATTTGTATTCTCTACCAACTGAGCCAGCCAGGCTCCCCTACTGTGTTTTTGTTTTGTTTTGTTTTGTTTTGTTTTGTTTTGTTTTGTTTTAAACACACTTCTCTGCCGCCTCATCTGTTCTCACTGTACACTCCAGTCTCATGAAGCTATACTTGTGATTACTGTTTTTGGACGACCTTCAAATTCAGTTCCAAGGTAGAGTTAATACAGGGTGAAGAATCTTCTTCCCGTTAGAACCTCCATTTCTCCCTTTGGACTACCTTGGAGTAGAGTTACATTAGAATTAAACATAAATTGTATCCAATTCCTTGGTTCCCCTTCTTGGTTACCTCTTCTGAGGTCACTGCTGATAGGTCTCTGTTCTCAGCAGTCTTCTCTCCAGAGCTCCTCCTGGGAACAGGCCATGACTGGAAAGTGAGTTCTGGTTCTGGATTCCAGCTGTCTCTGGATGTCTTACTGAGGCTTCAGTGTCCTGAGCTGTGAAAACAAAGCCCTGGGAATAGCACGTCTCCAACGACTTGTCCCAAGTTTCAACTTCCTTTGCTTCTAGAACCTCAGTGTGTTAGGTTGTGGGTGAATTTCTGTGTGCTCTGTGATATTTGCTGTGTGGGATAACCAGCATGGTAATTTTGCCAACTGGTCAGGTTTTGGTACTCTGATAACCCTGTGGTTCTTACAAATCTAATTCATGATCTTTGTCTGCCTTTACTCCATTTACGGTCTGCCAGCGTTCCACTCACACAGCAGAAGAAGAGGCATAAGTGAAAGATTTTGAGGCCCCAGGAGAGATTTGAATGCCTTTCCCTAATTAGAATCACAGAAAGTGACAGCTTCACCTTCCATCAAATTTAATAGACATAAGTGTAATCCAAGAGGCACTTTTCTTTCTATTTCCCTAATGGATTGTTAACCAAATGTAATTTCACACAGGACTCACCAGGTCCCGCTCCATTTAAAACCAAAGAACCATCCCCTCGGATCTGGAAAATACAAGTAATTATAATGTGTCTGGAATCTTCACTGCCTGCCTTGTGGCATCTATAAACTTTTTTGAATATTTACTTTTGTCAACTGTTGCCAGGCATTTTCGCATCTCTTTCCCACCCTCTAGTTGTTGCTTCTTGTGTGCTGCGTCTGTAACATCTTTTCTTTGGTCCCAGTGGTGGGCACAGGTATATAATCCTCTATTTTAATTCTAAGACTTGATCGGGAGACTTCCCTGCATTTCTCTCTCTCCTGTTGTATTATACATTATGTACACCGCGTCTCTTGTCATGTGTTACACTAGTAATCATAGACTGCTGAGTTTTAAGAAGACATACAGAGTAAGTGTCATTTTTCTCTTTTAGGCAAATTTAGCGATTAATCCAGCAGCCTTGCTGCCTGCAGCGGCTCCCCAGATCTCTGGAGTAAAACCTGTTTTGCCAGAATTGGCTTTTCCTTCATCTGAACCCGAGAGGATCCACGGTCTGGAAAGTATGCCCGCTCTTCCTAGTAGTGGGGAGGCCGGCGTGAGTTTCGATCTTCCAGCTCAGGCAGACACCTTACACAGTGCAAATAAGGTGATGAAGCCACCTTTGCTTGCTTTCTTGCCTTTTTTTTTTTTTAATCCAGAATAACTTGTATATTTCTAACTAGTCCATCAGTTATACAATCATAGGCTGCCTCCCACTAACCATTTGAAGGAGGCACCTCAGCCTTCCTTCAGCCTCTCCACCCTCCTTACACCTTCCTAACTCTGCGTCCACTTTTCCATTGCCCGTGTTTGTTACTTTTACATTCTGCTCAGTATCCACAGTGAAGTCCCACTGTCTCCAGGCTCTCCTGCGTTGCCACCTGCAGGTCTAAACAGAGCAGATCGTGTCCCTCCTCTGCTGGCTCCTTACTGCCCAAAGGAGGACATTCAGGCTCCTCGGTTTGGTATTAAAGCCTCTTACAATCCACACTAACTGAAACTTCCACCTTGCCCACCAACCACTCCACACCGTCAGCCTACACTGCAGTCACACCAGGCACCATTCCTTGAACACACACACAACCACCCACTGCTGCCAGCAGCTTGTGCTGCTACCTCTGTCAGCAGTGCTCTTGCTCATCGACAGACTGCTCAAACTTCACTGCTTCTGTGATATTTCCCCTGGTGCCCTCTTGTGTTAGGCTCCCTTCTCTGAGATCCCATGGCAGTTACTTCCCGGCTGGTATGGTCCTGTCACCCTGTTCCACAGGACTGTGGGTATGTGCTGCATGGACTGAACTCTTCGAGGTTTTGCTTTCATTTTAGTTGGTTCTCTTTTTTCTACCTAGTCTTCCTTCTCTAGAAAATCTTAGCTGATGTCTGAGTAAGCAACAGCACCTAAGATAACTCTGGTGAATACATTCATTTTAAGTGTTTCCAAAACTCTTTTCCTCGTGAAAAATAAAATATCCTTCTTTTTGTTCTATTTTTTGTCAGCCTTTGGTGAGGGGGAGGGTAAGTTTACATTGGCTACTTCATAAAATTATTTGTGAAATTTCCTTGAAATAGGTAAACATAGCCAAGTACTTTGGCCAAAGAAGCTTGTACCTTCTTAAAACTACTTGATTGTATATTTTGGAAAATATCACAAATACTGCATTATTGCTAATGAGTAACTTCTGTTTTGAGGTTATATTAAAAGTTCTGATTTCTAAGCCACATTTTTTATGTCAAATATTCAACATTTAAATTTAGTGTTTGTTGACTTGAAGAGAAGAGCACGTTAGATTCCCTGTCTTTGATTGTCTCTTATCTTCCTGGTTTTGGAGCCTGATTGTAGGCTAGCCTCTTGTAAAGGTTAGCATTAGAATTCCCCCTGATTCTCTCTTGTTTTGAAAGAGACCCACATGTAAACCAAGGGCAGAGTAAGGGCCGGGAAGGGTTGTGGCACACAGAGTACCAACATGCCTACTTTGCAGGGTTCCAGCAGCAGATGAAGCCTTTTGTGTGAAATTAAACAGAAATTGCCCTGCAAAGACTCCATGGGGAACACTAAAGGATTAAGAGTAACATAGTCTTGGAGTAGCTATTAAATGTCTTTGGAAATCTTTAGGAAATAATCCTTTCTCTGTCTTGGATAATATCTTGATTGAGGGATTGAAGTAGACCAGACAACCTTATAATATTCTGAGTCACTGATTATTTGCTACGTTAGCTTTGAACACCTTTTTGTTCTTCTTTTTAATCGTTAGATCAACACATGGTTTTTTGCCATTGCAGAGTCGGGTCAAAGTGCGAGGGAAGCGTAGACCGCAGACCCGTGCGGCTCGGAGGTTGGCTGCCCAGGAGTCCGGTGAGGCCGAGGATGTGAGTGTCCCCAGAAGATCCATTGAACGCTTGGTAGATGGCGACATTTCACCAGGTGACCCTCAACCACAGCCCAGGGCAGCTGGGAGAAAAGACATCTCTGAGGAGGCTGAGGCAGCTGCCGCTCCAACTTGGGCAGGTGGTCCTGTACCTGAAGTAGACAGAAGCCCCTTTGCGAAATCTCTGGGTCAGCCTCTTGAGGATGACATTTTTGATTCTGGAGATATCTTTTCCAAGGGCACTGGCTCTCAGCCCACGGGGAGAAGAAAAGCCAAGACAAAGGCAGCAGATGGCCTGGCCAACCCAACAGGGGGAAGTAAAGAGAAGAGCCCCATGTTTCCCTCTCTAGGTGAGGCAGGCAGTGATTATGATCTCTTCCAGTCTGTTAAACCAAAACCAGCAAAGAAAAATCCTTTCCCGCTCCTGGAAGATGAGGATGATCTCTTTACAGATCAGAAAGGCAAGAAGAATGAGTCCAAATCCAACGGTCAGCAGGAGGCCATCTCAAAAGCACAAGATATTTTTGAGGTAAAAGGACATGAGAGTACTTTCTGGGCCTGTTTCTGTGTTAAGACAAACACCCGATTGGCTCATTTGAGCCATAGGTTACAATAAGCTCGTTTCATTGCTGCTTGCTACCTATTTGCTTAGTACTTACAATTAGGATCTTTTATTAGTTACTCTGAAATTTACTCAAAAGTAGGTTTTTGTTTCGTTTCACGTGGGGGTGGTTCTTGGCTGGCTATGGCCATTGATTCAAGTCTTGATTTTCATAGTTTTTATCAGCATGTTGTTTCAGTCAGCTTTCTTGGCATGCTGCTCTATGACATATATAAAGCAGCATCAGTGCAGCTTAAGTGTTTCGCCTCTGGTTCTTGGGGAAACAGGCCCTAGCTGGAGTACAGGCAGTAAGGCCTTCAAGTGCTACTGTCTGAGCAGGTGTTTATTGAACATCTGGGTACTAGAGACACAAAATGAACTAGGACCAGTGTGTAAGGGGAATTGGATACAGGCAGGGCAACAGATAAATAAAATGTTTTCAGATAATGTTAAGTGGCATGATGAAAACAGCTCCGGTCAGAGAACAGAGTGATGGAAAGGGTAGGAGGACTCCTTAACAAAGGACTGGAAGAGAAAGCCTCTCTACAGAGGTGGCATTTGAGCTGGGACTAGAAGAAAGACAAGGACTGGGCCAGGCAGAGAGCTGGAGTGGGGCATTCCAGGCAGAGAGGGCAGGTCACATGGCTGTTGCAAACTATAGTGGCAGTTAGTATTTCTACCACTTGATTTAAAATTGTTTTACTTCTGTTTTGGCTCAACAAGGATGATATATTTGCTACAGAAGCAATTAAACCCTCGCAAAAAGCAAGAGAGAAGGAAAGAACATTTGAATCCAACTTGTTTGATGATAACATTGATATCTTTGCTGACCTAACTGTAAAACCAAAAGAAAAGTCCAAAAAGAAAGTGGAAGCTAAGTCTATATTTGATGATGATATGGGTAAGTTTGATTTTCTACACATGACACAGAGAGTCATTGCCATTCAGGGACTTGATACTTCTCCTACCTTTGTTTCGGCCCTTTCCTGGAAAACATTCCCCACTGGGTTTCCTTTGGCTTGCTGTATAGTCCTGAGTTAGGCTGAGAATGGATAAGTAAATGGACTGGTTATTTTGGTGAAACAACTTTTTGCTCTGATGGACATCAAGGAATTTGAAGGAGCCCGGATTTTGACCTTAAGTATAATTTAACTTTTATATTAGTGTGCCCCCTGCCAATTATCTGTGATAACTCAGAACATTCTGATGTTACGAAGGGAGGCTCAGAAACTGCCCCACATGCTGAAGTTGGCTGAGGTGGCTGCCTCAGGCGTGGGGCACTTGTCTGAGTCAGAGTTCTAACTGAGGAGTGAGTGTCAGTCATTCAGAGAATGGAGGGGGCCAGTGCAGTAGGAAAGTGGTGCTATACATGAAAGCAGGTTATAACTCAGACTTAGCATCTCACAAAAGATCTTCTGTGTTTGTAAACATGCTCACTTGGGCAAGCCAAATGCCTAAACTCAAATGTGGGGCTTCTGATATATCTGGTGTTGATGGGTAGGACTTGAGTTGAGGCCAAATGCACACTGTCTCCTCCTTCCCCCCTCTCTCCCAGGTCTAGACCTTGGGGTTAATTGGGAGAAAGCAGCTGTACTGCCACATGGGGCCTGTTCCTGGAGTAAGCTGTGTGCTGTGTCTCCACCTGCTTCCCACCACAGGGGATGCAGAAGAGACTTCGCTGTTTTTCGTTTTGTTTGTTTGTTTTTAATTACAAAAAAAGCAATACATACCTGTTGTAATAGATTAGTATTATTTGGAAAATGTAAAATGTGAAAAACAATCCCTAGAGGTCACCACTGTTGAGTGTTGGGTGTATATATCTTTTCAGCTGTGGTGATGTTAATATAGCTTTGCATACGTAGAAATGTATGCTTATTTTTTGCAAAATATGAATATATTTTATCTGTTCTGCAGTCCTTTTAGTCACTTACTATCTTCCCATGCCAGTACATAGAGATCTATCTGCTTCCTTGTTGTTAGTGGTTGTGTAGTATCCTTTTGTATTTAGCCATTAGCACGTTGAAGGTGATCTAGGTTGTTGCCAAGTTTTCTTTGTTACAAATAATGCCAGGCCTTTAACAATTGTGTATACATATCTCTATGTAAACATGCTCAAATCTCTGTAGGATGGAATCTTAGCAGTAACATTGCAGGTGAGTCACAAAACACTACAGTCAGTGAAACAACTGAACACGAATGTAGTCATAAAGACTTACATTCTTAGAATTGACATGTCTCAGGTGCATTTATTTTCTTTTTTTTTCTTTTTTTTTTTTTAATTTTTTTTTCAACATTTATTTATTTTTGGGACAGAGAGAGACAGAGCATGAACGGGGGAGGGGCAGAGAGAGAGGGAGACACAGAATCGGAAACAGGCTCCAGGCTCTGAGCCATCAGCCCAGAGCCCGACGCGGGGCTCGAACTCACGGACCGCGAGATCGTGACCTGGCTGAAGTCGGACGCTTAACCGACTGTGCCACCCAGGCGCCCCTGGGTGCATTTATTTTAAAAGAGGGTGACTCCTATGTTGGATTTCCCTTTGCTTATTTGTATTGCCCTTTCCTTTGAAAACCTTGTGGGAAGAGAATGTAGAAGTAGGTATAATGTCACGTAAAGTCAGGGGCTGGATTGGAGTTCCAGTTATCCTTCCCTTTTTCCTGTCCTCCATGTGAACACGCATACATTTGTAGTTGAGAAAATTGTGATCTGCGAGAACTTGTGATTTGTATGTGGTCGTAAAACTTAATTAGTAGCAAAGCCAGGACCAGTATCTAAGAGGCTTGGCTCTTAGTGTTCTTGGTATTCCATACTGTTACCAGACTTGAGTATTTGGTGATTTATGTAGATGTGTCTTAAAAGCACCCATTTTCTTGCCTGTTCAGCAAATCTTTGTCTTTTCTTCTTTTTTTTTTTTCCTTTTTAAAGATGATATCTTCTCGTCTGGTATCCAGGCTAAGACAACCAAACCAAAAAGTCGATCTTCACAGGCAGCAGCCGAACCACGATCTGAACAGAAGGTGTCCAACATATTTGATGATCCCTTGAATGCCTTTGGAGGCCAGTAGAGCAGGGTATCACATCTCACTCTTCAGCTACATCCTTGAGTTATTGATGCTGTCTTACGTGCTCATCGTCTTAATTGAATTAGAAAAAGCAAATAATGAAACAGTACACCTTTCTTACCCGGCATACTTAGTATTTTTCTGCCCTGGTTTTAATCATGCTTAATACTGCAAAACAAAAATAAATATTTCACAGTGTTTTTTTTTTTTTTTTAACTATATTTTTATTTAATTAGCCTTGATGGGGTCACAGTATGATTTAGGGCATGTTGGAGAAGAAACCTCTGTGTGCCTTTCATGAGTGGGCGGGAATTCCAGAGGAAGCAATGGCAGACAGATGATCAGGAGTCTTCCTTTCATGGATAAAAGCCCTAGCTTAGAGCCTAGGCAGGTGATAGAGGAAGGGGATGGGATTATGTATTTCATGACTCTTTGCAGAGGAGGTTTCCTCTTATTCCAATGAATTTTGAAAATGCCTCTATAGGTTAATTAAGGCAAGGTTTGGTAAACTGTGGCCCTCTGTTGTCTGTTTTTGTAAATAAAGTTTTATTGGAACACAACCATGCCCATTCATTTACATGTTGTCTATGGCTGTTTTCACCCTACCTATGATGCTGGAGTTCAGTAATTATGACAGGATGGCCCACAAAACCTAAGATACCTTCTATCTGTCCCTTTACAGAAACAGTTTTCTGACCCTTGCTCTAAGGCATCCATTTCCATTTCTTTGGAACTTTGAAAAACGCAGAATGAACCTAGATACTGGAAGGAAAAGTGCTGAGGATGGAAATGTCCTCCTGTAGAGCAGCACTCACTGTTCCATAGAACTTTGAACTGATGGGAATATTCTATAACTGTTGTCTAATGTGGTAGCCACTAGCTGCACGTGTAGCTGACCCCTCCTCCAGTCTGTGTTTTCTTGGACTATGCCTCCTTGGTGCTAAGTATTCAAACTATAACCATGGCACAGTCTTGTTCTTTTTGGTTTTTGCTTTTTTTAAATTTGTTTTATTATTTTTTTTTTATTTTTAGGGAGAGAATGAGGGAGAGGGGCACAGAGAGAGAAAGGATCTTAAGCAGGCTCCATGCTCAGTGCAGAGCCTGATGTGGGACTCAATCTCAAGACCCTGGGATCATGACCTGAGCTGAAATCAAGAGTTGGATGCTCAACCAACTGAGCCACCCAACTGAGCCACAGCCTTTTTTTATTTAAAAAAGAAATTTTTTTAATGTTTATTTTGAGAGCACACGTGTGCTCGTGACTGAATGGGGGAGAGGCAGAGAGAGAGAGACAATCCCAAGTAGGCTCTGTGCTGCTAGCGTAGAGCCCAAATGCAGGGCTCTACCTCCCGAACCACAGGATCATGACCTGGGCCAAAATCAAGAGTCAGCTGCTCGCACAACTGAATGAGGCTTTCAGGCACCCCATCCATGGCACAGTCTCGTAGGCAGGCCCGTTTGGTTTCACCAATCCTGAAAGCACTAACTTCTTCCTTGGGCACTTTTAAGATTGAACTTGGAATTGCTGATTTTGAGAGATTTGGTAGAGCTCTCACAGATCAACTCTTTGTGCTGCTCTGCTGTGAGAGTGACTTGATGGCAGAAGAGAGTGCTTATACCTTCTGTTCCTTAGGTTACTTGTGTATACCTACTCCTGAGGCTGACTCAGTAAGCATTTGTTACATGGTTTTCTTTGGGAATGGTCAAATCTACTTATCCATCATTAGGACTGATTCCAGGAAATTCATAAGAGAGAAAATACGCAAATTCCTATTTTGAGAGGCTTCAAAGCGGGAGGGAGATAATAAAATCTCTTTAAGGGGCTCCTATCTATTCAGTATTGGAGTTGAAGAAGGAACTAGTGTTGAGAGCCTGAAGATGAAGGTCCTTGGGTCTCCTCATAAACCCCAGGGTGTGCTCAGCATTGAACTGTTGGAGAGTAATTGATGGGTGGGGTCTTAGGAGAATGAGATGTTGGGGTTCATCTTAGATTCATTCCTCTGAGTCACAAGATGAGGATGATGAAGCCGGGAGGAGGATTGTTCGCTATCGTTTGGGTAATTCACCTAGTGAAATAGGCCAGTTTGGGAAATCTGTAAGGGTTGGATTTAGAACATGTGGGGAATGGAGAGAAAAAAAAAGTGGGTGTGGGGGGGCATTTCAGGTTTGTAAGGTTTATGTCGTCTTTTAGGATGTACACTCGGAGTTCAGCGCCTTGGGAATTAGAACAGAAAAAGGAATGTAGCTGAGTTTACCCAACTCAGATTTAAGTGATCAAGGTGTCCATGCTAATACCTGTCCTACACTTCTCAGTCCATGAATTGGATGAAGAATGATAGAGACCAACAGAGGGTATTTGCTTTTGCCCTTTTTGACCATGTACAGCAATGGCCCCATATTTCAGATGAGACCATTGAGGCCAGAAAGTCAGGAAACAGTGAAGCACAGGAAGGGTGATCTGTTAAAGGCAGGATGGCCCTGCACGGGGTCTGGAAAGGACCAACTGGAAGGCGTTGCCTGCTACCCTCCTCACCCCAGCACTTGGGCCACGTCCAAGAGCAATCTTAGGACGGCCTCAGGCAAGGTGCAAGCCATGCTCTCGGGCCTGAAGCCAATCTCGCCGCTCCCAGGAGGCCGTGCGGCTTGTCTCTGGCCCGCCCAATTCAGTCCTAGTCAGGTGCCCAGTGTTGGTAATAAAGGGCCAACATCCGGGCCTCTCCTAACCGACACCCACCATCGAACGCTAAAGCAGCCCCGGCTACCGAGCAACCGCCGGCGTCGGGCAGCCAGGCCCCGCCCCTGCCCGTGCCCTCGCTGATTGGAGGGTGACGTGAGCGCTGGTGAGTGATTGGTAGGCGGTGGCACAAAGGGGCGGGGGCGCGGCGGCGGCGGCGGTGTGTTTCTCGTCAGTGCCTGCCGCGGCGTAGCTCGCGGGGCCGCGCCTCTCTGTAGGCCTGCGGGCGGGCGAGGCAGTGGACGAGACAGCCGGGGAGGGCGCCCGGGGCTGCGGGCCGCTGAGCGGGTTCGCGCTTTCGCCGGCCTCCGCGGGCCGGAGAGGAGCGCCGGCCGCTCGGCAGCCGGGCCCCGCCCCCTCCGCAGCCGCTGCCCTGAGACCGGCGCGGCTCGACGCCTTTCCTGAGGAGTCTCCACTTTTCGTCCCTCCGCCGAAGCGACGCGGGTGTCCCGCCCCGTCCCGTCCGACGGGTGCTGAGCCGCCAGTCGCCGATTCTGACGCGGAGCTTGTGCACTACCCCCCAGATTAGGCCCGTACGTGTGGGTAGCCGGAGTTTATCCTGGAGGAGTACGGGCTGCGCAGGTGACCCAGTGGGCTTGGAGTGTGTACTTTGAAGGCTGGAGTAGACGTTGGCCTCCAAGGATTTCCAAGACCCACTAGAAAGAAGTTTAGGGTACAAATGCATTTAAGTGGTGGATATAATTCTGTAGCATTATTTATTTAAGAGCGAGCTTAAGCGGGGGGAGGGGCAGAGACAGAGGTGGGGGAGTGGGGTGGGGGAGAGAGAATCCCAAGCAGGCTGCCTGCCCAGACAGCAGGGAGCCTGACTGGGGGCTTAAAATCGTGAACTGTGAGATCATGACCTGAGCCAAAATCAAGAGTTGGATGTGTAGCTTCTATTTAAAACAGGGGTGTTTTTCACCTAATTAGTAAAAGGCAGTTTGTTAAAAGCCAGTGTTTTTAAAGGTTGCATAACATTTTGGATCTCTTTGTGTTGGGGGAAATTTTTAAAAGATAACGGCTCTCCTCTGGCTAATAATCTTTAGAACAGGGTAAAGCTGATTGCTAGTGAAATTACTTACTTCAGTGCTATTATTGCCTTACCTATCTTTAACTTCTCTCTTATCTTTGGTAATGTTTTTTAGAACTTTTTCAGAAGAAAGAAATGTTTTTGGAATTAATTTAGGAATTTTTTTTTTTTTTTGATGCCATTACTCTTACTAGCTAAGTATGTTTTTTAATTGGTAAAAATTCTGGAAGTACTTTTTTTTTTCTCTACTCGCCTCTTTTTTTTTTTTTTTCTTTTGCTCTTGTATAATTTAGCTTTCACGTTCTTGCAACATTTCCCACCCTGTCTCTGAATCTTCATTGCCTCTCGTTTTCCAACAACATAGGGTTCTATAATATGTTTAGTTGAGAATGACCACACGGTTATTGTGTGTTAATACTGTCTAGGTCTTTGGTCTGCTGGAACTTTTCATTTGCTCCTTTGCCATCATCTAGTCCTCCAGGCTGGCTTAACCAGATTTCATGGCCTCATTTTGTCCTCTGTTACTGTGATTTCTACTGCTCAGGAGAGGTATAACTATTTTTGAGTCATACATTTCAGGTTTTTTGAGTAGGCTGCGTACATCCCAACACAGGGCTTGAACTCACGACTCTGAGATCAAGATCTGAGCTGAGATCAAGAGTCAGCCACTTAAGCGACTGAGCCACCTAGGCACCCCACATTTTAGTTTTGAATTTGGTTACCTGCCTTGCTCCTTTATGGATTTTAGAAATTTCTCCATTGATTACGGCCCAAACTTACAGTAGGTGTCCCAGTGCAGTGTAGTGCTGCACTGGGTTGCTGTTTTTCCTTTAGCCCATAGTTGCTTTATCCATTCTCATTATAGATGAGGGACTTCCAAATCTGTTACCCTCTCCCAGCCCCAGCTTTTTTTTTTTTTTAAGTCGTTCTTATTTTTGTTTAACGTTTATTTATTTTTGAGAGAGAGAGCGTGTGTGCGGGAGAGGAGCAGAGATAGAGAGAGAGACGCGGAATCCAAAGCAGGCTCCAGGCTCTGAGCTGTCAGCACAGAGCCTGGCTCAGGGCTCAAACTCATGGACCTACAGATCTTGACATGAGCGGAAGTCAGACACCTAACCGACTGAGCCACCCAGGCACCGCCCCCCCCCCCCCCACCAGCTTGTTTATTATATTCAGGGTATTGTGGAAGAGTAGTACTGTGGTGAAGGAAATGCTCCTTAGATCTTCTGTCTCTAAATT